ACCTTAACATTAAACCTGAATCTCTGAAACTACTGCAGGACAGAGTAGGAGAGACACTTGAACTAATAGGCACAGGAAGGAACTTCCTGAACAGAGTCCCAGGGTCACAACAAGTTGGAGAGAGACTTGACAAATGGGACTACCTTAAAATAAAAAGCTTCTGCACAGCTAAATCTATCGCAACTAAGCTAGAAGGACAACCAACTAATTGGGAAAAAATATTTACCAGCAATATATCAGATAAGGGGTTAACATCCTGTATATACAGGGAACTCAAGAAACTAATCTCTCCAAAACCTAACAAACCAATTACTAAATGGGCAAGGGAACTAAAGAGGGACTTCTCAAATGAAGAAATAAAAATGGCAAAGAAACACATGAGGAAATGTTCATCATCCCTGGTGGTGAAGGAAATGCAAATAAAGACAACCCTGAGATACCACCTTACCCCAGTCAGAATGTCCCACATCCACAAATCAGCCAACGACAAATGCTGGAGGGGATGTGGAGAAAGAGGAACCCTATTACACTGCTGGTGGGAATGTACACTTATACAACCACTTTGGAAAGCAGTCTGGAGGGTCCTTAGAAAGCTAAAGATTGACCTCCCTTACGACCCAGTCATATCACTTCTAGGCATCTACCCTGAACAACAGGAACCAATATACAAGGACACGTGCACCTCCATGTTTATTGCAGCGCTGTCCACAATAGCTAGGATATGGAAACAACCCAGATGCCCCACGACAGATGAATGGATCCAAAAATTGTGGTATCTATACACAATGGAATATTATGCAGCCATTAGAAATGACAAAATAATGGCATTTGCAGGGAAATGGATGGAGCTAGAAGGAATCATGTTGAGCGAGGTAAGCCAAGAGCGAAGAGACAAACGGTACATGGTCTCCCTGATAAGTGGATGCTAAATCCAAAATGTTAGGTGATAAGACAAAACTAACAGGACTTAAAAAACAAAGAACTCCCCCTCATCTGGTCGAACCACTACTAAATATCCCCATGCTGCTGATCACATGTATGGTGTATAACGTGAACACCGTTATATGTTACAGACTGTGATAGACAATTTGCTCCAGGAAAGTTAGAATGAACTTGTGACTTTAAATGAGCATCATTATTCCACAATTCTGTGAAATTCCGGAAATTATGTAATCGCTTAATCACAATCAAAAAAAAAAAAAAAAGAACCTGGGGAAGGTAGGGAGGGAGGGGGATGGTAGGGGGAAAACAATGGAGGGGGTAACAATGTTCAAGAGGAAGTGTACTCATTACCTCACTCATGTAATGTATAGTATCTTTACAATAAAAAAAAAATACTGGCAGGAAAGTAAAATAGACACAGCTACAAAGGGTAGATGCCAGTGGGAGGAGAGGGCTAATGAAGAGGGCAAAGGAGGATAAATGTGTTCATGGTAGCTTATTTGCATGTATGACAATAGAACAGTTCAACTTGTTGAAGTCATTTTAAGGAGAAGTGAGAAGGGGAGAATGATAAAGGAGGCGAGGTTTCTCAGGATGCATTGTATACATATATGAATACGTCCCAGGGAAATTCCTCTTGTACATCTAGTGCATGCTAATAAAAAATAATGATGTAGAGCAAGATACAGTGGCTTATGCCTGTGGTTCGTTACTTGGGAAGCTGAAGCTGGAGCATTGCTTAAGCCATGAATTCAAAACTAGAGCAGGAAGTGTAATAAGATGCCCCCTCCCATCTCCAAACAACAAAAAATAAATTATGTGGGGCTGGGAAGGTGGCTCAGTGGTAGAGTGCTTGCCTTGCATGCCTGAGGCCCTGGGTTCGATTCCTCAGCACCACATAAGAAAAAAGCCGGAAGTGGCGCTGTGGCTCAAGTGGTAGAGCGCTAGCCTTGAGCTGAAGAGCTGAGGGACAGTGCCCAGGCCCAGAGTTCAGGCCCCATGACCGGACCAAAAAAAAAAAAAAAATTATGTATAGTACTAAATCGTAGACCTTTTTAGAAATAACTATTTTAGGGAATTGAAAGATCTCAGGGTATGGTGGCTTGCTCCTACAACCCTGAGCTGTTGGAAGGAAGATCTTGGGAGGATCACAGTTTGAAACCTACCTGGGGTTTGTGAGCCGCACTTCCCCCCCACCCCCAGAAGTGCAGACATCTGAGCATGATGGTTCATGCCTGGGACTCCAGCTACATGGAAGAGTTTAGATAGAGGATCACAATCTGAGGCTGGCCTAGGCAAAAATGTAATATTCAACCTGGGAAATAACTAAAGCAAAAAAAGAGGCTGGGGATATAACTCTAATGGTAAAACATCTGCCTAGCAAGCACAAGGCCTTGAATTTAAACTCCCAAACAGGAAAAAAAAATTAGGCTAGTATCTTACATATTTTTGGCCAAATTCTTTATTTTAACTATTTGAATATGCCAAAAATAAAAACCGATAGGGATCATAGCCTAATTCAGGACATTATTATACAGAAATAAAAAAAATTTTATCCATATATAAGACTTAGAAATAGCTTCATTGCTTTGACATTTTGAGTAGTTTTTAATTTTCCTTTCAGTCTTTTTATGTGTGTAGTTAGCTTTGTTATCTGAGACAGTCTCTCACTGCATTACCCAGTCTGGTCTTGAAGGCCAGGTATATAGCTCATGCCTGTAAGCCCAACCTCTTGAGAGAGATGGAAATCAGGTATATCCTGGTTCAAGGCCAGTCCAGGGAGGGAGGGAGAGAGGATAGGGGCAGAAGGGAGGGCAGAGAAAAGAGTGGGACAAGAGAAGAGAGGAGAGGAGGTCAGGGAGAGGGAGAAGAACCTATGTTTCAAATAGCTAAAGCAAAAGGAGTTGTAGGCCAGATGGTAGAGTGCTTGTCTAGCAAGCACAAAGCTCAGAATTCAAACCCAGTACTGAAAAAAAGAAAAAGGAAAGGAAAACATACTGAATAAGTGGTCCTGTCAACAAAATGACATTAACAGTCTACTTGAGACTGCACTCTGCATCATGCCTTGTTTATTTTTGCAGTTTGTGTCCCAAAGCAAAATTGCTAGTTGCTAGTTGATAAAAATTATCCATAAATAAAAACTTTCTAACTCTTGTTACATCCTTAATGTACAATAAATAAGGTTAGGTAATCTTACATCCATTGCTACCTTTGTCTAGTTGAGCAAAGATACATAAAACAAACCCAGTTTGAGTCAGGCACAGTAGTGCATACCTGTAATGTCAGCACACCAGAGACTGAGACAGGAGGATCACAAACTTATACCAGCTTGGGCTATCTAGTAAGATCCTGTTAGCCAGACACCAGTGGCTCACATCTGTATTTGAGCTACTCAAGAGGCTGAGCTCTAACGGATTCTGGATCAAAGCCAGACAAATCTGAGAGACTCTTCTCTCCAGTTAACTAGCAAAAAATCACAAGTAGAGCTGTGGCTCAAAAAAGAGTGCACCAGCCTTGAGTGGAAAAGCTATGAGAACACCTTAACTCAAACTCTTTACTACATCAGAGATGAAAAGCATAACCAACAACTGTATTTATTCACATCACAAAGCTAATGTCAACTTTAGGATAGTATTCAACTCAAGTAGAAAAATGTGTTTTCTGTAGTAAATAAGACTCAGGTCTATATTGCTTTTGGGTGGGTTTTACTTAGTGCATGAGCACTCTATTTCTTGTACTGGGGTTTCATGCTTACTAGACAGGTGCTCTACCACTTAAGTCACATTTCCCTGCCCCAAATGTTACTTAGGGTATTTTTAAATTGTTATTAAGGAGTTGTACAAAGGAGTTACAATTTCATAAGTCAGGTTGTGAGTACAATGCTTCTTCAGCAATGGCACTCCCTTCTTTCCCCCAATTTCCCCCTACATTCCATACCCAATGCTATTTATTTATTCATTCATTCATTCATTTATTTAATTTGTCACTCGTGGGGCTTGAACTCTGGGCCTGGGTGCTGTCCCTGAGCTCTTCAGCTCAAGGTGAGTCCTCTAGCACTTGAGCCACAGTACCACTTCTGGTTTTCTGGTAGTTAATTGGAGATAAGAGTCTCACAAACTTTCCTATCTAGGATGGTTTTGGACCATGATCCTCAGATCTCAGCCTCCTGAATAGCCTGTAAGCCACCGGTGCCTGGCCCCAATGATACTTATAACTCTGGTTTGTAGTGACAGGTATTCACTTTGCTGGCACTCAGGAAACAGAAGGCCTTCTCACACTTGGTTTATGTGCTGTAGTGCAAAGATTCTTTCTTTTGCCCTGTACTTAAGCAGTTTGGTTGTTTCCTACACACAGAGAGGGCAGGCTCTTCCAATTTAATTTTTTTCACACTACAGTCTTTTTTTCAAAAACTTGTTTCATTTTTCTTATTGTTTTTTTAACACTGCCCCCTCTCTTTTTTTGGGTCCGGTCGTGGGGCCTGAACTCTGGGCCTGGGCCCTGTCCCTCAGCTCTTCAGCTCAAGGCTAGTGCTCTACCACTTGAGTCACAGCACCACTTCTGGCTTTTTTCTTTTTGCTTATATGGTGCTGAGGAATCGAACCCAGGGCCTCATGCAGGCAAGGCAAGCGCTCTACCACTGAGCCACCTACCCAGCCCCAAAACTGCCCCCTCTTATCTGAAGGTTCCTGACTCTGTTTAAGGAACCCTAGAGATGAAATTGAGGTAAGTTAGAAGCACACCTGGGAACAAACATGTTGCTATGAGGATCAAAAGGAGTCAAATTACATACTCTGTTGGCAATGTCACTGTTTCTAGCTTTTATGTAATTTAACATTTTCAACAATACTGTAAAGCAATAAATTTCAAAATTTATTGACTTAAATACTAAACTGTATATAGTGTTGGAAACTATTATAAACAAACTCATATTTTATAATGAAACCAGAAGTCGTCTGAGTTGCTGAAGGAAATGTGTTTGCTTTTTTTTTATAGCAACTATAACTTAGAGAAGAGTTTTAAAGGCAGTATCTCAGCTTTTATTTGACTTTCTCTCATAGTTGGTGTATGAATTCTTCTTGAGATTTTTGGAGAGCCCTGATTTCCAGCCTAGCATTGCAAAACGATACATTGATCAGAAATTTGTACAGCAGGTAAGGAACTCTTGTTTTTCTTATATTCATCTTAATAATCTATTAACTTGTGATTAAAGTAGACCTGACTTCCAGATTTTAAACATTATTTTGAAAGCACGTAATATCCTTGCCAAGTAGGGAAAAAAGTGAACTAAGTTTGAGAATTTTTGAGTAGTCAATCAAGTCATCCTAGCCAATCCTAAATTGTTTTTTTGTTTTTTTTTTGGTGCTCCGGTCGTGGGGCCTAAACTCTGGGCCTGGGCGCTGTCCCTCAGCTCTTCAGTTCAAGGCTAGCACTCTGCCACTTGAGCCACAGCGCCACTTCTGGCTTTTTTCTTTTTGCTTATGTGGTGCAGAGGAATTGAACCCAGGGCCTCAGGCATGCAAGGCAAGCGCTCTACCACTCAGCCACCTTCCCAGCCCATAAGACGATGTTTTGTTTTGTTTTGTTTTGGGGGGGGGTATCCGGATAGTGCCCAGAAGCTGAGTTCAAGCCCCAGAATTGGTACCAAAAATGGAAAGGAGAGAAGGAGGGAAGCAAGGAAGGAAGGAAGGAAGGGACTTTCAGGACTTTCCTGTTTTATTGATGAAGACATACATATAAGCTCAGAGGTTATGATCTACCCTTAAAAGCAGTTTGATATTAGTATCATAGCCAGAATAAGAAATAGGTTTCTTGACAACTAGCATTGTGTGTTTCATCAAAATGCCTAGATTACTCATTTAATTATAGTGTCTAAAAATAGTTCCCCATAAACTTGTAGCCACGTGTTGGTAGCTCATGCCTATAATCCAAACTGATCAAGAGGCTGAGATCTGAGGATCTTCATTCGAAGCCAGACTGGGCAGGAAAATCCATGAGACCCTTATCACCAAAAAAAGTAAAACTGGAGCTATGGTGGTAGAATGCTAGCCTTGACCAAATTGAGCAAAATATCTCAGGAACAGTACTCTGGCCCTGAGTTCAAGCTCCAGGACTGGAAGGGGGGTGGGGGAGATGTATTAAATGTTTATCTGTAAATTAAACATGACTTTAACAACTAAACATGACTTTAAAAAGGGTCCCTTTTTATTAGTGTGGAAGTATTTTTTAAGTAAACCCAGAATCAGAACATGAATTTGAGTGTAAAGGGAGTTTAGCCATTTCTAGTAATTTGAGCAAAATGTATCAGGTCTATTATGGTAAATTTTTATGTTGTAGACATATTTTTTGCCAGAGCCCTAATGTCTTGACCTGTAGCCAGTTACAAGCATGTCACTTGGGTTGGGGATGTGTAAATATGATTTTAAGTTGTCAATACCCTTGTTGCATCTATTTGGGTTTGAGATAGATGTGTAATAAGAACTGATGAGGTTTGAGGCTTGCCCCTAGTGTAATTATCATTACCAACGTTGAGAATGTAAAATTCCATGACAATTTTTATTTATTTTGTCAGTCATAGAACTTGAACGCTGGTCCTGGGCACTGTTCCTCAGCAATTCAGCTCAAGGCGAGCACTCTGCCACTTAAGCCACAGTGCCACTCCCTGTTTTCTGAGTGGTTTATTGGAGATAAGAGTCTCATGGCCTTTCCTGCCAGGGCTGGCTTTTAACTGTGATTCTCAGATCTCAGCCTCCTGAGTAGCTAGGATTATAGGCGTGAGCCACCAGTGTCTGGCAACAATTTTTATTAGCTACATATATTTATACAGCTACATTTAAAAAAAACTTTATTATTGGATGACACAATCTAAAAGCTTAAGATTTTAAATCTCAGCATTCTAGAGAAAAAGAGGATGGAGAGTTTGAGATCAGTTTGTGCAACAGCCCCATTAATACTTAATACTTTATTAATACTGAATAAATAATAAATCTATGATGTCAAATCATCCTAGTTTTTTTTGAAGTATTTATATCTTTGTGTTGTGTGTCCCTACCCACACAGTACTCCGGCCTGGCACTTGCTAGGCAGGTGTTTTAGAAGTCCATTTTTCTCCAAGTCCTTTTTCTTTTTTGATTTTTTTTTTTTTGAGTAGAGTTTCATGTATTTGCCCCAGCTGGTCTGGATTGTAATATTCCCATTTATGCTTCCCATGTGGCTTAAGATGACAAGCATGTACTACCACACAGAGCTATTTATTGGTTGAGATGGTGTCTTGATGAACTCTTTGCCTGGGCTGAACCTTGAACAGCTACTGCTATCCTCCTGATTTCTGCCTCCAAGGTAGCTGGGATTATCGGTGTGAGCCACCACACCTGGTTTTAATGTGTCATTAAAAAAATATAATTGATAAAATGCTCCGTAAACTTTACCCCATTTATTTACATGAATAACTTAAATCCCTAAGGCAGAATTTTTTAAAGAACATTGTAGAAGATTTCATGGATAATCTTGAAATCAGTAATAGAAAAAAAGTCATTTTAGCTCGATTATTTTTTAGAAGTAATTTCTCAGATTTTTCTTAAAGCTCCTGGAGCTTTTTGATAGTGAAGATCCCAGAGAACGTGACTTCCTGAAGACTGTACTGCATCGAATTTATGGGAAATTTCTTGGATTAAGAGCATTCATCAGAAAACAAATTAACAACATTTTCCTCAGGTAAATTATATATTTATATATTGCAACCCCTACACACACACACACACACACACTCACAAACACTTAAATATCTGAATCTGCAAATTAAACTGAATTTTTTAACTAAAAAAATTTACCTATAGTACAAATATCATTTGTTGCATCTTAGCTTTTATAAACTGGTAACTTGCAGTTTTACTAATGGATAGTAACAATGAGGACCATTTTTGATAGGTAATACCAATTAAGGTTTATTGAGAGAACAACTTTTTTAGAGAAATGGTTTTCTGTTTCTTTGGGCTTTTGTTTAAAAGATTTTCTTGTATAAGTATTACTTAAACCCAACAGCTTGTAGAAATACTTTCTTTGGATTTTATTTTGGTTGGTTGTAGAGCTTGAATTCTGGGCCTGGGTGCTGTCCCTGAGCTCTTCAGCTCAAAGGGAGCGCTCTGCCACTTGATCCACAGCACCACTTCCAGTTTTCTGGTAGTTAATTGGAGATAAGACACTCATGGACTTTCCTTGCCCAGGCTGGCTTTGAACTGTGATCCTCATATCTCAGCCTCCTTAATAGCTAGGATTACAGGAGTGAGCCACCAGTGCCTGGCTCTTTGGATTTTTTTTGACCATTAAGTTCATATCATTTACTACTTCATGCATGTTAATCTGTTAAAATATTTGCCTCACATAATGCAGTTTCACATTTACACTCACATGTGAGGTTAATTGAAGACCTAGGAAATGAGGCTAGTGCACCCATGTTACAACACTGAGATGAGTGCTGGCTAGCTTCTCCAGGAAGGATCTTCCTCCAGGCTCCCATCACCTCCTAGGTTCATTTCAGCCATGGGTGACAGCTGTTTTGTCTTGCTTTATCATTTGGGTTTGAGGTTCATGCTTTAAAGGAGAACTTAATCTTGGAAAGTGAGGCAGCAAATGTCATGTGAGGTCTAGAGAAATTCTAAACAACTGAATTTTCTCTTGTAGTTTCCTATGAATACAGGTTTCTTTGAGCAAATCTTTCTTTTACATATACATTACTAAGGAAAAATGCAGTATACCAGGTGAAATGACATGCTGTCATCTTACAAAAGCAAGTTCTAGCAAAGGAATACATGACTTAATAGTAAACAGCTGTTTTTAGATCACTTTGAATTAAGTGATTTTGAGCAAAATAGCTTACAAAGAAAATCAACCTAAAGCCTGTGTTTCTTAATGTTGCCCTTTGGATTGATTTGCCTTGCCTGTTTGATGACGTTTTCTGACATTTGATTTTTATTCCACCTCTCTATTTTAAACTCAGGTTTATATATGAAACAGAACATTTCAATGGTGTTGCTGAACTTCTTGAAATACTAGGAAGGTAGGTCAGGTTGAATTTTTTTTTTTTAAGAATTAAGTAACTTTGAACATTTGTACAAACATTTTAGTTAGAGTTAAAGAAATAATTTCTCATTTTAGAGCTTAAATGTAGAGCACAACACAGGGCCTCAGGTTCAATCCCCAGCATCACAGATAGACAAGACAGACAGACAGAAAGACAGAACTAAGACTTAGCTTTTAGATTATGAAGTTTTTAAATTATGAGTTTAAATGGGTCAGCATATTACAGCACTTCTTTACAAGATCTGTCAGAGCAGCCTTCCTGCTATGAAGCTCTGGTATGTTTTACGCTTGATCTTGCTGAATTGCACATGAATTTTCAGGTTGTGGTTGGGAAGAGAGAAACTGTGAGTGTTTGATTGTTATATTAATACTTGTATAGATACAGATTCCTGACCCATCAGTGTTTTTATGTTTTTGTTTTTTTTTTAAGAATCTCTTGTCCTTTTGTTTTTTTTTTTGTTGGTCGTGGGGCTTGAACTCTGGGCTTGGGTGCTATCCTTGCACTCTTCAGCTCAAGGCGAGAGCACTACCGCTTGAGCCACAGCACCACTTCTGGTTTTCTGGTGGTTAATTGGAGACAAGAGTCTCACGGACTTTTCTGCCTGGGCTGGCTTTGAACTGTGATCCTCAGATCTCAGCCTCCCCAGTAGCTAGGATTACAGGCGTGAGCCACAGGTGCCCCGCCTATCCTTTTGTTTGTAAAAACATTTTGCCTTTCTTATTCACTACATAACACTTTTAGCTTGAGTAAATGGAAACTTCGACTGCTGTTTTAAAAAAATTCAGTCTCCTTTAAATAGTTAGAAAATTACTACAGAGAAAACTACTTCTTAATTTCAGATTATCCAACAAAGGAAAAAACTACCCATTTATATTTGGGACATACTGAAAATTCTAACATACTGTGGCATTGACTCTCCTTGCATTTAAGGAGGAAAAATAGTCCACACAAAGTGAAGCAGACATTGCACTGAGGCAGTGGTTGGCAGCCCTGATTTTCTCTGGGGATCATTGAGTGACTTAGAGAAGCAGAATTCATAGGATCAGTCTTTCTAAAGGAGTCTGAAGGTGAACTGTCACATACCAGTCTACTCACAGACATGACACCTTGTAGAAACAAAGTCATAACTACTTAACCTTCCCCTGCCTTTCTTTCCCTCCAGTATTATCAATGGCTTTGCATTGCCACTGAAAGCAGAACATAAACAATTTCTAATGAAGGTTCTTATTCCTATGCATACTGCAAAAGGATTAGCTTTGTTTCATGCTCAGGTAAGTTATCAAAAACATTTCAAATAACATACATACTATTTCTACAACCGATTTTTAGAGTATTTAAAATATTATTTACTAACTACTTTCTCAAGAAAAAGTGCCAACATTTCTAGACAATGTATATGCTAATTGAGAGCCAGCTTTTTTTTTAACAATTAGTTTGAAACTTAATGTTTTAGCAACAATGTACTGCAAATACTGCTGTTCCAGAGTTTTCCATGTAAAACCATGAGAATCAGTGAAAGTGGAGAGAATCATGGCAGTTTTAAGTATAACTAAGCAATTAAGTTTTGTACAAAGCAAAATTTCATTACAATTATTAGGTATAGTGTTACATAAATCTCTAAGTATTGTAAAGTGTTGTGGTATTTAGTTATATAAGAACACTGTATGGTTAGAAAAGTTAATATAAAGCTGGGTACTGGTGGCTCACGCCTGTAATCCTAGCTCCTCAAGAGGTTTGATGACCAAAGTTTGAAGCCAGCCAAGACAGGAAAGTCTGTGAGACTCTCAACTCAAATTCTACATTAAAAAGCCAGAATTGGAATTGGAGATGTGGCTGAAGTGATAAAAGTGCTAACCTTGAGCAAAAAAGGTCAGGGACTCGAGGCATCTAAGCCTTGAGTTCAAGCTCTAAGACGGGCACGCACACACACACACACACACACACACACACACACACACACACTAAAATAAAGTTAACACAGAAAAAATAGGCTTACTTATAATCTGGCCCAAGCCCTGATATAATTAGCTATCTTACTTTGAATAAATTACACACCTATAGAATGATACTTCTAACCAATATAACTTAGGTAGAAAAGATTTTGGTCTCTTAGTTTTTAGAAGATAACATATCAGCATAGCATACCTGTGGAAACCGCTACTGAGAACTAAATCATTAACTTGAGATGGTTAACTTTACAGTGAGAAATTACTACTAAAAGTATCTTTTTTGAACTAGAAGTAACTAGTAGGATTAAAAAGTTGGATGCACTCACATAATTGTGAGTATATTCATCTTTTATATCTCAAAATAAACTAGGGTTAAGTTTTGTTAGCTAAATATTAAAAAATGCATCCCAAAAGTTACTTTCCTCATCAATATTTGTAAACTTTACCTTCCCTTTCAGCTAGCATACTGTGTTGTACAGTTTCTGGAGAAAGACACAACACTGACAGAACCAGTAAGTGTTCTATTAATGCTCTGTATATATATTTATTTGGTCTGAAGTAATAGCATTTCATTATAGCATTCTGTTGGCTTTTACCAGAGTATAATAATACTATATCTTTTCTTTTTTTGGAGGGGAGGGACTAAAGGGGTGCTGGTAATAGGATTATAAGCATGAGCCACCAGTGCCTAGCATCTCTACTTCTTTTGTCCACAAAAATGAAGGTTGTAATCCTGGCTACTCAGGAGGCTGAAATCTGAGGATTGTGGTCCAAAGCCAGCCCAGGCAGGAAAGTTCATGAGACTCTTATCTCCAATAAACTATTCAGAAAAAGCTGGAAGTGGAGCTGTGGCTCAAATGATAGAGCACTAGCCTTGGGCAAAAGAAGCTCAGGGACAGAGCCCAGGGACAGAGATCAAGCCCCAGGACTGACCAAAAAAAAATAATAATAATAAAATGAAGGTTCAGGAGAGTAAAAAAATGACTAGTTATCATGAAAACTGACTGAACTTTCAAGAAATGAGGAAATGGGGTTAAATAAGAACAAAAAAATAAAAAACTGAACCTTGGCAAGGGTTTTTTGTTTTGTTTCGTTTGTTTTTGCCAGTCCTGGGGCTTGAACTCAGGGCTTGGGCACTGTCTCCGAGCTTTGTTTTTATTTTTATTTTTTTGGGGTCTGGTCGTGGGGCCTGAACTCTGGGCCTGGGTGCTGTCCCTCAGCTCTTCAGCTCAAGGCTATTGCTCTACCACTTGAGCCACAACACCACTTCCAGCTTTTTTCTTTTTGCTTATGTGGTGCTGAGGAATCGAACCCAGGGCCTCAGGCATGCAAGGCAAGCGCTCTACCACTGAGCCACCTTCCCAGCCCTCTTTTTCACCTTTTAAAATTACCTACGATTTCATATACCAGATTGTAACAGACATGAAGATCCAGAACGCTTTTAGCTCAACTTTAAGTATGATAATGTCAGACAACATTTAGCCCATTTTAGAACAGGGTTACGAATGATTCCTCTGTTGGTATCAGTGACCCAGGACTGGCTCATTTTCATTTCAGAACCATTGTAGCACTGGTGTATAACGTGTTGAAAACGCTAATGGAGATGAATGGCAAGCTGTTTGATGACCTTACTAGTTCATACAAAGCTGAAAGACAGAGGTATTTGATATTCTAAGTTATATATAAAATCAACATATTAAGTTAAACATGTTTGTTTTTAAAAAAGGTATGGTCTCTAAGTTATGTTTATAAGTCAATACACATTAGGCATCACACTTTGATAGCCTCTAAACATTAGTCATGTCTAAATAAAGTTACCCCAATAATTTTATACATTTGTTAAGCAGTAAAAAACAGGTTCTTGCATAATTAATTCCCCTAGTATTAGATTATAATTTTAATGTGGATCATAAATCCTGTTTATCTCATTCTGAGCCTAGATTTCATCAGTCTCATAGCATGTGCACTATGAAACACAATTTGTGCTAAATTTTAAATATTAACTTATACAATTTGATTTTTTACATTTTTGAAAACTACTTTCATACAGACTTCTAGAGAGTTTTACTGTTCACTGGCTCCTAAGTGCTTGACAGTTCCATTGCTGTGATTGTAGTGTTTTAAGGTCAGCATACTTCTCTTATGGGGTGAGGGAAACTGGGCGAGCGTGCTAGCGGCATGTTGTTTCTTGTATGATGTATATTGTAGATGACAAATGGATTGGCAACTTATTTGGTTGAGAATTTCATAAATTACTATTTTTTAATTGCTGCCTTAACATATTTAGACTTAAGGTGAGCAGTAATCACTATACCTGAGTCTTCCCAACATTTGAGAATAAGAGCTATCATTTTCTTATATTACTGTCGAGTTTATAAAAGCTGATATTTTTACTTCAAATTCCTAATCATGGTTTTCTTATATTGAGAAAGGAGCTGGCCCTTCTTCAAAGCCATGCTAGACCATAAGTAATTCAATGCATTTCTCTTTTAAGTAGTCAAGTTCAGGCAGGAATAGAAATTAAGGACATGATATGAGCTCTGGGAGCAATGAGAAAATAGATGTCTAAATTCCTAAGAAATATGTACACACACACACTGTTGTGGTACAGATTTTGAACTCAGATTCTTGTACTTGCTAGGCAAGCAGCTCTTGTCACTTGAACAATTCCTGTGTCCCTTTTGGGGATAGGGTCTGCTAACTACTTTCCTAGGCTGGCCTTGAATCACAGCTCTCCCAATCTTTGCCTCTCAAGTGGCTAGGATCACAGCATGAGCCACCATGGCTTGGTGAAACTTATACCTTTCAAATATTTATTTTACATGACTAAGAATGTTATTACTGTATAAATCAGCAAGTCTTTAAAAGATTTGTTCTTAAAATGTAGCCACAAAAATAGAAGCCTGCCTTAAGTGGTTAGAAGGTCTTTTTAAAATAATACTCTAGTTCAAATTATTTAGAAATATTTCCCTTAGAAATGAAGTTGCAACTGTTAAAGCAACCAATAGGCATCTTGACTTTCAGTGTGTTTGAGATAATATTGAAATTTTCACTTGACATATTAAGAGCAGGAGTTATTAAGAAACAACCTAGTGAGATGTGGGATAAAGATTGCATCTGCAGGTGAGTGCCATAGTCTACCTGTCTGTGGCAGTGATCCAGACAGCCACAGCTCCTGCACGAATTTAACATGGAAAGAGTAATGTATGAGCGTTCTGCCATGCTGTATTCAAGGGAAAGCCAGCACTCACATAGTACTGCACTGAGTAGAGCACATAGTTATACTTGAGTGACAGGAAGTAATAAGATGCTCTAGGCATCTGGACAGCAGCACTTTAGAGACAGATAAATGAAATGTGAGTGGGGTGTTCTCCAGTAAACTGCCAAGTAGTGTCTTACATCAGCTTCTGAAATAAGTTCTAATTACAACAATCTTGGTTTATCTACAGAGAAAAAAAGAAGGAACTGGAACGTGAAGAATTATGGAAAAAATTAGAAGAGCTAAAGCTAAAGAAGGCTTTAGAAAAACAGAACAGTGCTTACAACATGCATAGTATTCTCAGCAATACGAATGCCAACTAACAGCCTACCACCTCTATTGGGTAGGCACAGTTTTGTACACTTTTTTGAAACATGTAAAAATTGCAAAGCAAACTTCATCAGTATAACTAAAAGGCCAACTCGTTTTTTTCTGGCAACTGTAAGTGATGGACTAAACAGCCCCATGCTATATCATGGCCACAGTATATTGTAACCTCTGTCTAATCATTGATTTATTGTGTCACTTCTGAAGTTTCACAGAAATGAATATTATCATCTATGATATGAGTGAGATAATTATGGGAGTGGTAAGAATTATGACTTGAATTTTTTGATTGTGTTGCACATAGATCAGTAGTCTGCTTTGTATATTTTTCTCTTTTATAATGTGCTTTTCACATTGCTGCAAACCTTAGTTATATCCTAGGAAAGAATACTTCCGAAAAGAAAACTAAGGTGCCATCCTTTCCCTGCCCTTTGTCTCCCCAGGAACATGATGATGAGTTCCCTGCCTAAGCCCACCTTCACTAAAGATCTTAATTGTACTCTGGAATTTGAGCTTACTCTTAAATCTCTAGGCTTTTAAAGCACAAACTATAAATAAAATGGGAAAGTAAACCAAAATTCTTCAGGCTGTCCCTCATGAATATCCCCATCAGCAGCAACGCCCTAGAGTGCACACAGGTAACTAGTGGCTACCCAGGTAATGCTGGACTTGCCTCTCAATTCATTCCTCCTCTTCCTCCCCGAGGCTGGAGGCAGGGCCTTTCCAGTCCTCCCAATCTGCCTTCCCCCAGGCCTCTTGACCCAGGGTGGAGGTTTTGAGTCCCACAATGTGGTGATGCCGAATGCTAATTGTCACTGCCAGCTTTATTTAAAGGAAATGCAGTAGCCTTCCTCTGTAGAGTTCTGAAAAAGTTGACTACATAGAGGCCTTGTATGTTTTTACCTAGTCAAGTATTTCTCACATCTTTTGTTATCAGAGTACCATTCCAATCTCTTACCATGCAGTTGTATGGAAACTGTTTTATAATGAAAGATCTTCACTGGGGGATTGAGCAGCATTTAATAAAGTCTATGTTTGTATTTTGCCTTATGTCATTTTTGCTTTTTTTCAACTCTTAAGCTTAAGCACACAGAAACCTGTTCCCCTTTAACATATGTACCTAACCACATTTATAGAAAATGAAGACATATTGTGGGATACACTATAATTAAAAGAGCAGGGAGACTGTAGCAGACATGGCTATAATGTTTTGACTGCAGATGTTTGTTTATAAAACTAGCGCAGGTTCTGCATAGTACTCATGGGTCACTCTGCTCTTCTCTATGGCCCTCAACCATTCAGTACTGTGGCTTAGATTTTACCATATTCTCAAGCCGCAGGCCCAACAGAGCCAACCTGTCACTGCTCTGAGACTAGAGATTTCTTCAAGACCCGATACTAATCCCAGACCAGCCAGCATCCCAGACCAGCCAGCACTGCTGATGTCTGTGGCCAGCACAGTTATAAGGATGATCCTACCACAAAGTAGACTCTGAAGGCAAAGTCTTAACATCAATTTGTAGAAATCGAAGTGGGGATATTTATTTTACTGAGCAGCCAGAGTGAATTTTGATAATTTGCAGCTATGAGTAAACTTATTTTTCTTTGAATAAACAGTATTACTCAACTTTCTATTTAGTAGGTTTCTCAACTTTCTACCATACAGGAAATATTGTTTTGGTATGTTCACTGAAGCGAACCCTTAGATATTTTAGTGATTTTTTTTCTTTTTTTTTTTTGGCAGCAAGGAGATCAAACCGAGACTTATGCATGCTAAGCACATACTTTATCACTGAGCTACATTCCTAGTCCATAGAAATACTTTTTTAAAAAATCATACACTTGTTTTTTAAATATTCTTGACGTAAATTTTTTAGGCTTGGCTTTCAATTTGAGATTTTATAGAGCAACCTAAGCTAAAGTTGGAATTCCCATATTTTTTTGGCAGTCGTAGAGTCTGAACTCTAGGCCAGGGCACTGTCCCTCAGCTTTCAGCTCAAGGCTAGCACTCTACCACTTGAGCCACAGTGCTACTTCCAGCTTTTTTTCTGCTTATGTGGTGCTGAGGAATTAAACCCAGAGCCTCATGCATGCAAGGCAGGCATTCTACCACTGAGCTACCTTCCCAGCCTGGAGTTCCTGTATTTTTTAGGAACAGACAGGTAGCTGGGAACATATCTTTCTACAAGTTCACTGTTAATAACTCAACCATTTCTTGCTAAGTTCAATGGAAGATTTAAAAAAAAATGTCTTAAATATATGAGTTGCTCTCTCTGGATAATCTTACAGGTTAATCATGAATCCAAGAAACACTAGTATGTCCTTTTTGGATGCAACAAGCATGTGAATAATTTAAAATTGGAAGTAATTTTTATTACCAACCCTCAGCCAATGTAAAAAAATACCTAGGTATAACGTCTGTCAAAAGCTAGACAAGCAGCTTTCTAAGTGGGTGCTCTAGGACATTGTTTTGACCAGATTATTCATTAGGTATGGTATGTTGCTCATCCTGGTGTGAGTTGCCATGCCCAACTTACCTTCCCTAGAAGCAAGGATGACACATGTCAGGAATCACGCACCACCTTTTGTTTGTGGAGATCATGACATAATCCTGATGCCTGTTGGCTTAGCAGATATTCATATTGGCACATACATTCCTTTTCTATCAATTCAACTTTTATTTACCTGTTAATGAAATCAAAATATACCGAGTAGGCACTTACTATGTACATCTGTATTAGTGGTTTGGGGGTTAATTACTAAACTCACATATACCTGAACAGAGATTCTAGCCAGAGAACTAGGTGGCTAGTTAGGCCATAAGAAATGTAATCACTAGTTTTAAATAGTTGTTAATGTCTCATTTGCTATTTAACAAATGAGAGAGCTTGTCAGACCCTGGTTAGCACTGGGGGATAGTGCCAAAGTCATAAGGGTTTTGCCTTTCTTCGTTGCATACAGTGCAGAGGTTCTAAAACGTGACCCACACATTTTGACAGTCAAGATTTTCAGTAAAAACCACACTCCTATCTGCTCCTTTAAAAACCTCAAGGAAAAGCCTAAAGTAGAAGTGCAGTCTTAACTGTCCCCTATTGGAGCCTAACTATACAGTGAACCAAGTAAGAAAGGCATATCTTCCACAAACCTTGCTCCTGCTCAAGACATCAGACAGCTCTGTACAACATTAATAATTTAAGTATTTAAATAGCATTCAGGTTATCCATTGGATATTTTTCATTAAGCTTGAAACAGCCTCTTTCTGGGCTAGAAGTTCCAATCTGACAGGCTGTTCCTCCCTGCAAGATCCCTTTCTTCAAGTGAGTACAGGATTGCTGGTGGCTCCATGATTAACACAGGCATGAGGAGGACTTCTATTAACGTAGCAGTTCTGTAAGGATCAAGGTGACTTCAGCTTATGTGGTTTGTAGCTTGGCCTCTTCTTTTAAGATACCGCTTCCTAATTTTAATCATCCACTTCACGCTCAATTTGGCAAACTCTGCTGCTTTAAATAATGCCAAGAAGGCTCCACAAAGAAGAGCAATTGTGTTCCAAGGATTGGCTGTGATTATCTGTGAAACAGAAGCAGCAAACAGGTTACTGGGTTGCTCTAATATTCTTTTTTAATTTTGGTGCCAGCACTGGGGCTTGAGCTCAGGGTCTGGGCACTGTCCCTCAACTTTTGTGATTAAAGTTAGCACTTCATCACTTTTTTGCTTATTAAGCAGAAGTAAGAGTCTCATGGACTTTACCACTTGGCTCCAAACACAATACTCAGACCAGCCTCTTGAATAACTAGGATTACAGGCATAAACCACCTGCATGTGGCTTAACCTTTTTTTTTTTTTTTGTCGGTTGTGGGACTTGAACTCTGGGCCTGGGCGATGTCCCTGCGCTCTTCAGCTCAAAGCAAGCACTCTACCGCTTGAGCCACAGTGCCACTTCCAGTTTTCTAGTTGTTTATTGGAGATAAGCGTCTCATGGACTTTCCTGCCTAGGCTGGCTTTGAACTGTGTTCCTCAGATCTCAGTCTCCTGAGTAGCTAGGATTACAGGCATGAGCCACTAGTGCCAAGCTAACCTTAATTCTTAAATCACACTATTATTACTGTCCTTCCTAGATTAAGGGACTGTACAAAAAATACCTGGGTTCTAAAACTCATACTTCATTCAGACTACACATTTAATGTTCACAGCTAGTCAGAAGAAAACAGACTAACTCCTATATAATAAAGTGATTCTGAAAGGAAAATTTTTTTTCAAAAATCTCTAAAAATAAGACTCAAGTTTAGTGCCAGTAGCTCACAATTATAATTGTAGCTAGTCAAGAGGCTGAGACCTAGAGAACCAAGGTTCCAAACTAGCCAAGGCAGAAAACTGTGAGACTCGGTCTCCAGAATAACCAGCCAAACACCAGGCTGGAGGCATCATTCAACTGGTATAGTTGACCAAGAAAACCAAGTGAGAGTAGGTCCCGAGTACAAGCCCCAGTACCTGCACACACACAAGCCAACATTGAACTTTAATTTTTGTGACCTGATCCAACAATAAGTGACTCTGATTTGAAGTCAATTTTCCCAAAACTGTCCCTAGGCCCACAAGAAGTGTGGTTCTCTTTTCTTCCATCTTACTTACCTTAGTTCATCTCCTCACAAACTCATGCTCTAGACTCCTTCATGCATCTGCCTCACACTGCCCTGCCTGGGATGCCCTCCTATGTGGACTCCTCATCCCTGAAGCTGTGCTCCCCTGACCACTCAGGCAAAATCCTCTCGGGTATAGTTCGACAGCTAATGTCGGCCATTAGTCGTTTAAACCATTAGACTGTTCCTCAAAAGAGGAGCATGTGTTAAGGCCCAAGTTTTATGCTAGATTTCTGGATTCCCAAGGTAACAATAGAAAACATCTGTAAGCCCTGTTCTAGTGGTTGACCTGAGTAGTATAAGCCTCTGTGTTCACATATGAAAAATGGCTATTACCACCCCTACCAATCAGGATTACTCAGAACACACCTAGAGGAGGGGGCCATACTTACACACTGCAGCTATGATCCTTCCACTACCATGTATCCCTCTGCACAGACTTACTTGATCATAACAGTGTTATGGATGTTAAATCCATCTCACAGAATCCCTGACCGGGAGCTGAAGCTTATATATTTGAACTTTGAAATTTCTTCCTGGAAGCCATGATCACATAAAGACCTTTTGTGTTCGTGTAAATGACAATCTTTAGACCTGGAATAGGCTTGGGAGGCTAGTGTGCCAATGTTCCTTGAGCAAAGCTGCTCTTATTTCTCCTTCCAAGATGTCAGTCTCAGAGGGTGGCATTAATTGATGCTTTAATTATTTGTACTTTTCTGCTGCAATTTACCACCAATAGAGAACCATTGAAGAATGACTTTTAGTGGCAATCTATACAATAACTAAATGCTTTCTACTTCTATTACTAAATAACTCTGTGCTAAGTACTGCTAGATCCCAGATAAAGGATAAACCCAGTATTTCTGCCTTCCCAGAAACAATACTCTAATGACAAAGATCACTCTAGTGGGGAGGAATAAACACAAATTACATGTAACATGCAATGTCATAAATTTAGAATGCAAGGTGTCTTATGCTATGAGAGAAAATGAGGAGAGCCAGTTAGACTTAATCCTACAAGGATTAGCCAAAATGCATCAGAAGAGAGAATTTGCTCTCCAATTCTTAAATCATACTCACATCTTGGACTTTCTGTATGAAAGGATCTTTCCACTCGAAGACCACAAAGAACAACTGAATGCTTTTCTCAGCAGCTGGCCTCTGGTCATTGTAGTTAACCACACTGGTCTAGAGGCAGAGGAGAGAAAGTTAACACCTCTGGACCCAGAAAGAAAACAAGAAGGGATCTTAGACCTCAGCTCTCTGGATCTGGTCTTTTGGAGAAAAAGCCCCAAACACTCATAATTTTATTTTTTGGTCGTGGGGCTTGAATATGGGCCTGGGCACTGTCCCTCCGCTCTTCAGCTCAAGGCTAGCGCTCTACCACTTGGCCACAAGGCCACTTCTAGTTTTCTAGTGGTTTATTCAAGATAAGAGTTTTCATGGACTTTCCTGCCTGGGCTGGCTTTGAACCACGATCCTCAGATCTCAGCCTCCTGAGTAGCTAGGATTACAGGCGTGAGCCACTGGTGCCCGGTTCATACACAGAATTTTAAACAAATATGGAGCCAAGGCTTTACCATGGTTTCCACAGTTCTTTGAGGAATCAGGATCGATGGTATGCAATAGGCATTTCGGACTGTCACCAAAATCTATCATCTGGTGTCTATACTCACAAATAAGTCACAAATAACTCCCAAATAACTACCACATTAGACTCACAAATGCAATAGGACATCCCAAATTCCAAAGTTAGGGCTGAGTGTTTCAACCTTTCAAATCCTATTGGGACAAAGTATAGCCTCAAATCAACCGGCAATACATTTTAAGTATCTGGTGGGCCTACAGGGTAAGATCTGGCTATCAACTAGTGTGTGGTATAATGGAGAGTAGAAATGTTCCAGAGGGAGCTGGGCCAGACATGTAGGCACACTACCTGATTCTAGTCTCAGCTTTGCCACCTGGAAAATGGGATAAAATGTCTGCCTCACTTCAGCATGGTAAGGATTAAATGAAATAATCTATTATTAGAGATGTCAAGATTGTCACAAGAGCTTATGGACCCTGCCAAAAGTTTTTGAATTTAGACAATAATGAAAGGCATAAAAAATTCTCAGTCAGGGGCTGGGAAGGTGGCTCAGTGGTAGAGCGCTTGCCTTGCATGCATGAGGCCCTGGGTTCGATTCCTCAGCACCACATATAAGCAAAAAGAAAAAAGCCGGGAAGTAGCGCTGTGGCTCAAGTGGTAGAGCGCTAGCCTTGAGCTGAAGAGCTGAGGGACAGCGCCCAGGCCCAGAGTTCAGGCCCATGACTGGAAAAAAAAAAAAAATTTCTCAGTCATGGTCTGAGAATGTGGCTTAGCAGGAGAGTGCTTACCTAGCATGCACAAAGCCCTGGGTTTGATTCCTCAGTACCACATAGAAAAAGCCAAACGGCACTGTGGCTTCAGTGGTAGAATGCTAGCATTGAGCAAAAGAAGCTCAGGGGTAGTGCCCATCCCCTGAGTTCAAGCCCCAGGTCTAGCCAAAAATAAATAATAAATTCTCATTCAACCAAGCTCTAGTGGCTCATGCCTATAATCCTAACTACTCTTGAGGCTGAGATCTGAGGATCATGATTTAAAGCCAGACAGGGCAGTAAAGTCTATGAGACCATTACCTCCAATTAACCACCAAAACCCCAAAGTGGAGCTGTGATAGGTAGCTGTGGAGCTCAAGTGAGCTCAAGTGGCAGGCTTGAGCACCAAAAGTCAAAGGCAGCTCCCAGGCCTTTAGCTCAAGCCCCAGGGCCAAGAAAAAAAATGAAAAATTAAAAACACCAAAATTCTCATTCACACGCTCATTGGGGTTTCTACCTCTAGTTTTAGAACACAGTTAGTGCCAACAGGGGAGCTGGGGCTGTCCCTAACTGTACAGTGAATAAACACACAGTCCCTAAACAGGTAAGTGCATTCACTTCTAGAGAGGGCCCTTCTATTCCAATCCATACCTATCTTAAGCTGGCCCTCAGAGGTGCCCACATTGACACCTCTGAGAAGGAACAGAGGGCAAGATCCTTGTACAATATACAATCAGCCTCTTCAGGTGGACATAGGAGGACAAAGCACCACACCTAGGTAGAAACCTTAGAGGCAAGCGGGGTCATTACTTCTGCTTTTGACAACCAACACTTGCCTCAAATCTCCTATCTCTAACCCCACCACTAGGCCTTTTGCCACAGTCCTCCCCAGGAGAGGAGGATCACAGACAGCCCCTACTATACCTGCTGGTTCTATCAGTAACCTCCTGGCTCCAGCCCTAACATACCTCCTGATGACCCCAGCACACCTCCTGACTCTAGGCCAGTGGGATGAAAGCTTTTGGATCAACCTTTGTTAATAAAAAATACCTGAGCATATACTCAGTTTAAATTTATAATTTTACGACCGATGTCATTGCATTGTTCTAATGCAATACGTATGTACACACACACACACACACACACACACACATATTCAAGTCAACAGAATGTTAAAAGGAAAGTGGAGATGTGACTTAAGTGGTATAGTGTCAGCTGAGCAAACAGGCTGAGCAAGCTGAAGGTCCTGAACTCAAACCCTAGTACTGTCAGGAAAAAGAGAGAGAGAGGAACCCTAGTCTATTCCTCCTCCTGCATCCCAGTGGTCATCACACAGGATTGCAACACCACTGTCTGGTCTCCTCCCTGCAAATACATTCGCTATGCAGCCACAAACCACATAGCACTGCTAGGTCTAGGTGATCAGGTACTTCTGGGCAAGTCACTGTGACAACTACAAATATATAGCTGTGAGAACCAGCCACCAGGAAAGACAGTGCCACCACGCACTGCCCCCAGAAGAGCACTCTGCCCTGGCATATGAAGCCAGGGATGAACCTCCAGGTTTCCATCCCTTCCTGAAGGACTATTAACCCTTGAGGACCTAATCAAGGACTTGTCACTGCAAAGCTTCCCTCCACCTCACACAAACGTGAGAAAAAGTACCAGGAGTTCTAAAGCAAACCCAGGGCCACTCACCTCTTGCCGGAATTCCACTGCCTCCCGTCCATCCTCCTCCTTGGTCTCCACCAGTGACATCTTAACCCAGGTGCGGAAGCCCCCAGAGAACTTCCAGCTGGAGTAGGCACTCTCACAGGCCTGCATGAAGCCTGCCCTGTCTGGGCTTGGGGGGCCGGGAGAAGAAAGGTCCAGGTTAATCTATATCTGACAGCAGGGGCCAAATGCAACTAGATGCAAATTCCCCTGATTCAAGCTAGTTCCCCTGCTGGCACAACAGGATGCGGTCCACTCCCTGCATCCTCTCCAAACTCAGTTGCCTCAGTGGGGCTGTTTGCCAGTCGAGGGCAAAAGCAAAGCCCCACCCCTGCACTCCTGCCATTTGGCTTCCAAATGGAGAGTTGTTTCCATCCTTGAGGCAGCAGCACCTATGCAGCACCTGGTGGGAGAGCTCCTCCAAGCACTCAGGTTTGCAGAGCTCACTGAAACTGGTGCTCCTGACTCCTCAGAGAACTGGGCTTCAGTGGGGCCAGGGCAGCCCTTGCCATTGCCTTTCAACTCCCTCTGGAAGTCACAGAGACAGGAAAAGGGCTCCAGGAGTGATTCTCAGTGGGATAGAACAGCACTCTTCCAACCCAGTGTGGTGCAGATGTAGCAGAACCAAAATGCCCTTGAGCAAGCAGGAAGGGTTGAAGTCTGGAACAGGAGCTCAGGGCTTGGTGGATGGGGTGATCTCAAGTCTGCTGTAGGAAGGCCAGCCAGATCAGGTGTGAGCCGAGCAAGAGAGGAAAGGGCAGGCAGCAGAAGGGGTGAAGATGCTAAGGCAGAGGCAGAGGCTCTGAGAACCCACAAAAGATGCTCCCTTCTAATAGGCACTCTGGGCTCCAGTGATGGCATCACTGCATATTCCCAAAGCAGTGTCTAGAGCAGACAGGAACTTTCTGATGGCCAGGAAGAGACATCACTACAAGTAAAGACCTAGAGCAGCTCGTAGGACCTGCACCATCATATCCAAGCCATTAATGCCAAAAACTTGAGCCCTCAGTAAGGGCAAGACAGGTGCATGAGGCTGGGGAGACCAGGCTCCACAGACCAGACCACGTGATCTGTTCTTAACAGTGCTACAGGCATAGAGCATTCCTCAGCAGGTGTGCTTAACTGCTATGAGTTTAATGTACCCAGCTCACGCCAGCCTTCCTCCCCTAGGCCAGTGAGCCATCTGCCACACTGCTCCCCAACCCTCAGGCCTAAGTCGCTAACAGGGAGATGAGCAAGGCTGGAAAAATGCCAAAAGACAATATAGCAGAATCACTGTGAACTCCTAAAGGCCACCTCTGCAGGAATTCCTGGAATGAGGAGAAGAGGAGGTAATCGATAGCGCTGAAGTCCTCATTGCTCTGGTTCAGGCGGAACTGGAGGAAGACTAGCTCCCGCTTCTTTACTTCCCGGGGCCCCCGGACAATCAGGGCAACTTTCTGCAGGGATACAAAGGCCAGAGTCTCAGTCCCGGAAATCTATGTGGCCCCTCAACCCTTACCTTGGGCACAGAGGCTCTTAAAGCACAAGCACAGACTACAGCCCCTAGCAGTCTCCAGTGACTTCTACCAGACACTCCTGCCCAGGGATGCAGGTGAGCTGACTCACAGTGAGCCAGTCTCAGCACAGTGCTCAGAGCCAAGCTGGGTGTGTTGCAGCCTTTGGCCCCTCTGTAAATAGCTGGCCAAGCTATGGAAGCTCACCATTCTTTAGTATGGACGTGCACTTGAATACATACAAATGTTTACTTCTAGTGTATCATTTTCCCTTCCGTTTTATTTCTAATGTCATGTTATAAGGAACCTTCAAATTAAATATAGTGGATAAAATATGTATGTCTTTTTAAGGTTTCTAGGGTTTGCTTGCTAAGGTAAGCCCATATTCTCCCCCCACCTTTTTTTCAGCAGTACTGGGGACTAACCCCAGGGTTCCACACTTGCCTAGCAGCAAGCAATCTACCACTTGAGCCACATCTCCAGTCCTTTTGCATTGTTTGCCTTTCATAGTCTTGTACTTTTGCCTGGGAAGGTGTTGAATCTTGGTTGGTCCTCCTGAGTAATTGAGATTAAAGGCATGCGTCATCCACTGTCATCTTGTTTTTTGGTTGTTGTTTTTTTGGGGGGTCCAGTCATGGGGCCTGAACTCTGGGCCTGGGCGCTGTCCCTCAGCTCTTCAGCTCAAGGCTAGCGCTCTACCACTTGAGCCACAGCGCCACTTCC